AGAAGGTTACACGTTCACGCGTCGTACACCTGGAACCATTTTGAGGTAAACTTGATATCTTTCGTATACCTAGCGCGCAGACGAGATTTTATAATTTCATAGTTTTAAACGGCCTAAATACCTTAACTCGCTTAAAAAATAACGAGTTATAACGAAATGGGCACAGAAATAAAATCTAACATCATTAAATTATTTTTTATATTTGTATAAAAGCGCGGGGTGAAACCCGCGGGTATAAGCTAGTATTTGTATAAAAGCGCGGGGTGAAACCCGCGGGTATAAGCTAGTGATCACATATATGTGTGTATCTCGGTAACCGCTCCACGAATTTGAACCAAACTCGGTATGGTTATTGTGCCTGCCACATAAAAGCAAAACTTGAAAATTATTGAAATCGGACTAAAATTCCGGCCATTTTTCATATAACGGTAAATTTCAGAAATGCCCGAAACTTCAATATTTCGAAATTTAAGGACGCTAGTTTACTCAAAACTGATACACCCCGGCTTACCATGTAGCGGTAGCTTTCGGAAAGCTGAAAAACATATATTTAATACTTGCGCCGGGTATTTAATGTTCGGCTCCGCCCGAACCTAGACTTTCTTACTTATTTTACTTTTTATTTGTTATTGAATAATTTATTCGATCACGGACTATTTAATTTTACAAATTTTTGCAAGAGTTGCTAAAGTGGAAAATTAACAATAAAATACTTTTTTCACAAAGTCCATCAAGGATCTTTTTATTAAAAAAATAAAAAAAAACTGCGTAACAGTTATTCGTCGCCACCCTGTCCGTTTAATAGTCCAAATTCTTTGTAACTTGCGAGTATTCGAAATTCGTATTATCTACCGCGTTCTGTAATTCCGCCAGTAGAAAAATGAAAAAGTGTATTAAAAAGAGTTTCAAAGTTGTATTTTTTCCAATTGCGAAAAAAGTCGTTATTTGTCACAGTGAAATACCGTACAAGTTATTTGTATCACGCTAATATCTATAAAAAATTTAAGAAATGCGACAAAATGCAGAAAAAAACTTTAATTTGTTTTTCGAACACGTAGAAGAAGAAAAAAGGCACAAAAATCAAAGTATGGCGATAAAGCAGTCGCCAGATGAATCGTTTTAATGTGAAAACCGGAGACGCCGAGGCATACTATGGCATTGTTTTTTACATTCCACTTCCCTGAGACATATATTGCTAATATGAAAAGCCGGTTCCTAAGCCATAAATCAGTTTTAGATAATTTTTGTGTTTTGTTTCCAAAGTACGATTGTAACGAAAAAACAATGAAGAATTGTTTGCGTTCTATGAAAAAGTAACCGACTCACAGAGAAATGCCCGATCTGACTGGCCTTAGTTTCAAAGATCATCTCTATTTANAAAAAACAATGAAGAATTGTTTGCGTTCTATGAAAAAGTAACCGACTCACGAGAAATGCCCGATCTGACTGGCCTTAGTTTCAAAGATCATCTCTATTTAAAAAAAAAAATGTAGTTACGTATTATAATAATAGGTAGTAGTAAAATCTACTTAAAATTACAAAAGTGCACGTATATATCATATTTGTGTAACACGGGCGAGTACGGGCCTGCAGTTTACATCGAAAGAGGCGTGAGAGTTTTGTGTACGAGTTTCAATAAAAAGAGGCTGCAGCGGTTCACATCTCCGATATTTCTGATTAAAAATTTAAAATGTCCTGTGAAATAATCAACCATCAACTATTCGATATTTGGCTAAATACTGTTGAAAAAATCGCTGTGCTTCTATTATTGAACATATGAGGAGTAACAAAGCAGTGGCTCACACACAAAAATTGATGACGAAAAACTTGGCGTATTTTGTAAGCGTTTAAGTCAAAATTTTAAAGACAGGTGGGTTCATAGTATACAGTAAACCAGCCATTGACAATATGCCTATTTGAAAATTAATACATGAAATATTGTGCATTTATGGGATTCTTTTGTCATTAACCCATAGGCAATGACTGGTGCAAAAATACCCACAAATGTTTGTTGATATATTTGAAATGTAAATTTTAACAGCGAAATTGGTAAAAAAGAAAATAATAAAACAAAAATTTTGTTGAGGTGGTCGTGGTTATTGGCAGATTTCGCCAAAATTTAATACTAACCTAAATTATACCAAAGGCAACTTCCGCACCGACTTTCGGTAAAATATCTAAATTTTGTTCGAGTTAGCGTGTTTACAAACAGACAAGACTGATCCAATTCATTTCGTCATTCTGAATATTTTGATAAATATGTATGTAAGAATATGTGCATATACATTTTATACGGTTGAAAAACGGCCTCGCTTATTTGCATAAACCGTTTTTATTTGCATTAACTCATGCATTATCCTTTTCAAATGAGAATAAGCGGCTGAACAAATGCATACAAATTTAGTGAGTTCTACCTTTAAGCTAAGTAATACTTGTTTTACCCCCTAACTTATGGGACCATTTTCCAAAGTCAGCCCACCATTATTCACTCAAAGTTGTGTTCGGAACACGATATGACTTGTGTAGGAACTGCATCCAGTTATAACCGCTTATGCTACAAGCCTGATTTGCTTGGAATTTTTCTTGTTGTTTTATTTTATGTGACTTGAAAATATTTTTCACTATAAGAAAATATTGAAACAGGATTCATTTGGGTTAAAGAAAACGACAACTGTGAAAAAATATCATTCAATACATTCAAATAAATTGTCAAANATAAGCTGAATTTCTTTATTCATTCTGAACGTTTGGAATAAACTTTTTTGTTTACTTATTCTTTAGAACGTTCCTGATGATATGTTAACGTATATTTCAAAAGCATTCTGTTTATTCCGGCTGTGAAATGGGATTATCCGGAATGTATAAAGAAACGCAGCCTTTTTGTTTTGCCTATCTGGATTACTGTATACTGTGGGTGGGTTAAAGCATATAGGGTAAAAAAACGATTTTTAGACAATAATAGTGAATGGCTAAAGACAAAAATATGCATACCGTCAATAGTAATAAAATCGAGGGACAAAGGAACTGCTGGTAGGCCAACTAAAGATTTCAATGATTGTTCTTCACGAACAAAATCTAGAAAAGCAATAGAGCTAGGAAGAAATGCATGCAATGAACACCGTTTATGGCAGGTGAAATGAAAATCCGATCTGCAGGTAAACGAGACTCTGCCGGAATTGTAAAAGAACTATTTAACGCCTCTCCAGAAAGAGATACTGTTCTGAAGAAATGCAGAATTAAGAGTGCTGTTCCGAAACGGTACCCTCCAGATGAAGCACTTGCGCTGATTATAGATGCTGATTTATCAACTGAGAGGTACAATGTAATAAGAAAGTATGGCGAACAGGGTAGCTCGAACATATATCCTTCATATGATAAGGTAAAATCCGCAAAGAAGTTATGTTATCCAGAAAACATAACCATCACTGAATCATTCGCTGAAGTTCGTTTACAGTCGTTAATTGATCACACATTAAAAAGGCTTTGTCTGGCACTTGAAGACGTTTTAAAATCAGAGTCCGTTAACTCTTGTCATAATGGGGTTGTGATGGAGCGACACAAAATCGGTACAAGCAAGCAAGATCAAAAGATTTTACAAGCGATGAAAACTTGTTTAGTGCGTCAATGGTGCGAATGCAAATATATCACTTTAATGCAAGAGGGAAACTAATTTTTATATTCCAAAATCCTGCGCCGTCTTCCCCGAGATATTGTCGTCCTATTAAATTTACATTTGCAAAAGAAACTGCAGACTTTATTATTAAAGAAGTAGAAGAAACAAATAAATGATTTATGACCTACAGAAGTTATTATAAACGAAGCCAAGATTTCGATAAAGTGATCGTTAATTTTGTGTATGGCTCATAGCAAGGTATGTAATGCCTTATCCAGCTATAACTCTACTCAGACGTGTTATGTATGTGAAGCAAATCCTAAGGATATGAACAATCCAAGTTCTTTAGTTACCAAAACGATAGACACAAATATGCTCGAGTTTGGTTTATCACCGCTACTTTCTTGGATTAGATACATGGAGTGCCTATTACATATATCATATAGACTTGAAGTGAAAACATTGCAAATCAGATCAGCAGAACATAAAGAAAAAGTGGCAGAAAGAAAAAAATGTATTCAAAGAAAGTTTCAACAAGAGATGGGATTACTCATAGACATGCCTAAGCACAGTACCGGTAACACCAACGATGGCAACACCGCAAGATCTTTTTTTAGGAATGCAGAAAAATCTGCTCAAATCACTGAAATAAATTTAACGCTAATAAAACGTTTCCATGTTTTATTGGAATTAATGGCATGTGGTTATGCCATTAATGCCAACGCTTTCGAAGAGTATGCAGCGATTACAAGGCAACTTTTCTTATATGAATATTCTTGGTACTATATGCCAGTAACAGTCCACAAGGTGCTTTACCATGGAAAATGAATCATTGAACACTGCATTTTACAAATAGGACAGATGTCAGAAGAGGCTCAAGATGCAAGGAACAAAGATGTTCGCCGTTACCGACTACAGTGCGAACATAATTTTCGTTGTTTATCTAGCGACCAAGGTAAAATTAAAAAAAAAAAGTTGTAATCTTCTACACATGTCTGATGCGTCCACAAATAATATTTTAAAAATACTTCCCACTGGGAAAATAGGTAAGCACCTTTCGAGGTAAGCCATGTTTTCTTTCAGTTTTTAGTACCAAAATTGTCATCATGGCCAATGTCATCTACTAGTAAAGGGCAAAATGAACACCTCCGAAGACACATTACGTTGTCAGTTGCAAAATAACGTGCAGCCGAAGTTATTTCCAAGCACCGAACTACTCCGAGCGACTGCTCTGCATTACACGTAACTTACTTTGTAAAGCGGCTCAGAAGTATGTCTGATACCAAATGTACATTCTAAATTCCTACTTACATAAGGCGGCCATGCCTTTGTAAAAGTAAGGGACGTTCGNTAATGTATATGAAAAAAAAAACGTAATATTTATTACCTCAAATTGTCCAGTTCCATAATGAATCATGACGTTCAGCTCTACATTTCCATTTAATGACATATTTGTTGCCCGCAAGAAACGTACATCTTCGAACTCAACCGGAACGTCCATGTAGCTAGGACCGTGGTACATCAAAGAATATGTCTCCCATACATACTGAAGATAACAAGTAGCCGGAATTAAAATTTTACCGTCAATCACGTGTCCGCTCATAAATTCTTCATTATCGCTACTCAAATTTATTTTATATAACCGCTCTCCACTCGACTTAGTTTTCATGTTTTCATATTTTGTTACAAACCAATCTTCACTGTGATCCCAACGCACCAGTGAACTTATACCTGAAGTACCTTTCGACACTGGGAATTCTACCTTTGGATATAACATATCTACAGGGAATGTAACACCGTTGCTAAACAATCTGAAAATCAGTTTACACATGTATTTAGTCATGTAATACTTTTGCACCTTTTTAGATACTTACTTTCCCAATGCGGAGAGGAAGAACAAAGTGTTGTTTTTGTTATTACGTTGGGTAAGGGGAATATGTACTCCTTTCGGCATTGATCGCTTTAGAATAGCTTGCAACAATCCGTGGGGTGCAATTTCAATCGTTATTGCATTATTGGGCAACAGATCAAAAGTATCCTCAAATAGAACACTATTTAAAAGATTATTAGCGTGATACTCCGCTGAGCACAGATTACGCCCTAGTTGATCCCATTCATTTTTTGGGACACTTGTACTGAGCCACTTTTCACTTCTGGATTTCGGATTTGGTATTATTTGCTGCAAATATTTCAAAAATTCAGGTCCCATATGAGCTATGTAGCGGGAATGGTAAGCAATATTTGAACAAGGAACTTCTTTGGCAAAAATACTTTTTGCTTTTAAATCGGCCACAAATTTGGCAACGTCGTTAGCTGGACCAGAAATAGTGCAAGAGTCTGAACTATTACGGCAAGCTACTTCAATTTCATCAGGCAGCATATTAGCAATCTTTTTGAAGCCCATTCCAACTGCCGCCATCGAACCTTTAATTTTCTCCATTTCTAGACTAACTTTCCCTCTGTAGTATGAAGCAAGAATCATTTGTTCAGCTGTGAAACATCCATCAGCATAACCACATCCTAATTCGCCCACGGAATGACCAATAATGTAATCCGGTTCGATGTTCAAAGAGCGCAAAACGTCGACTAAAGCAATTTGAATTGCAGCAATACCGACAAATGAATGCATTATATTGTCGAAAGTACTTAAATCTGCAGATGTGAGTATGCTTATTAGGTCTAGCCCTTTTGATTGTAAAGTATTATGACTTCGCTTTATCGATTGCAAAAACGTGGGAATCTGCATCAGCGAAGCTCCCATCTCTGTCCACTGTGAACCCATACCACTAAATACCCAAACAATAGGACGTTTTATGCCAGTGAAATGTTGGACATCTCTAGCAAGAGTCTTTGCTTGATTAGTTTGACATTTTTCGAACACACCAAATCCACGAAATACCATTCCGGTGACTTCCTCTTTTTGTATGTTATGTAATAATGCAAAAAACTCAGCATCCAAAGTCTTCTTTTCCACAGTATTGAAAATGTGATTGACGGCTTCCTCTGTTCTCCCAGCCCAAGTCAACAATCTTGGAATATCATCGCATGGTATGCCATTATTAAGTTTAGGTTTGTCGAACGCTTTTAAGAGTGCATGTGCATTGGCTCCACCAAAACCAAATGAATTTACTCCTATATAAGGCTTCCCTAGATCCACAACATCTTTTACCACAACTAGACGGCCTTCCGATAAAGCAGCAATTTCAGGTTTTACCTCACGGAAGTTTATGTTTGGAGGAATTTTTCCAGTTTCAAATGCAAAGCACGCTTTAATTAATGAACATATACCAGACGCCGCCTCAGAGTGACCTATATTAGATTTCACTGAACCAACCAGTAAAGGTTCCTGGCGCTGACTACACAACACGCTATCAATTGCTCGGCATTCTTCTGGATCACCGACCACAGTTCCAGTGCTGTGAGCTTCTAAGTATCCTAAGTTACTAGGTTTAACATCAATTTCATTATAAAATTCAGAAATTAGCTGCTCTTGAAGTTTTCCCGATGGATATGTAATTCCTTCAGGTTTGTAACCATCGCAATTCGTTTTTGAATAAACAACACTCGCATAAATACGTTTAGCATCCCGCCTTCGTTGTAAGAATAAACAATTTATAGCCTCGGACCGAGTATAACCTGATGCATTTATATCAAAAGGTCTGCAATATCCGTCGGTAGCTAACACGCCAAGTCTGTAAATATTTTCAATTGATTACATATGTATATTCACAATCATACATAATAGGTTCATTCCTTATATTTTCGGACTAAAATCTGAAAAGTGTCAAAATGCAAGAGCATAAAGAGCGAAATACACCACACAAGCGGCTTGTCAAACATACTTTTCCCATTTTGCCATAGACCATGCAAACATGAGTCGTTCAAGCACAGAATTTTAGTTTTCTTTCGGTTAACAATGTAAAACATTTTAGTTTTCTACCATTATTCTCCCTTACGTCTTCACTTGGTGAAATTTCAGTTGCAATTGAGGCGATTTTACCATCCACATCGCAAGCGGTTTGATCAAACGTTAACATGGCGGCCAGAAAATCAAAAAAATTTGATTTTTGCTCAAATTTCCCTCAAGCGGTTTGTCAAACCTTCAAACACCCCATAGACAGCACAAATGGCTTGAAGCAAAGGGAAATTTCGCTCTTAAGCAAAATGCGTACACTACAAGAGAATAACAGAAAAAGGTAAAGGAACTCAAAAAACCAAATTTTTAGTCCAAATAATGGCAACCATGATAAAAACATTACAAAGTAAATTCATTCTCTCAATTCGTCGGCCATGTTTTTGTTCTGACGTTTGCCAACATTTTAAAATCATATAAAATTGAAAATAAAAAAATTAAATTGTTCACAATTGTTGTTGTTTGAGATTGAAAATGAGAATGTGTGTGTGAGTTTGAGTTTTGATTTTAAAATTATATTGTTGGCAAACGTCAGACTGCCTCTCAATGGTTTTACCTTGTTATGTTTTTATCATGATGGCAACAACAAAACTAACGTTAAATAAGAATAGAAATGTATGTACAAAACACATTAACACAAGCACAAGCACAATAAACACTTACTATATCATTTATTTTTTGCCTCCTTCCACTTTCAATTAACTTTTTTTACTTTTTAGACTATTCTTACTTTTTGTGTATTCTTTAATTTCCGTTAATTTAAATTCAGTTGAGTTTGACACTTTTCAATATTTTGCCAGCAAAAATTCTTCTGACTAAATCTGACTACTTCGGACTCTCACTGAGTGTTGCTCTCTCATTTTTGCTGTCATTTTCGAGTTAAGGAACGCTTTTTGGACTAAATCTGACTACTTCGGACCTTTCCTGACTATTTCTGGGAGATAAGGAACGCAACTAATATGTACTTCCATGCATGCATATATGTATGTATGTATGTATATACTTTTTCTATGGTATTTATTTATTACCTAGCGAACTGAAGTGTAACAAATGGATGCAGTATTAAATTAGACCCTCCAATAATTGCTGCGTCTATTTCTCCATTGCGTAAAGCAGAGAAAGCATTATCTAATGCATACATTGAACTAGAACATGCAGTATCCAGTAAAAGCGACGGACCTTGCAGGCCCAAACTGTAGGAAATTCTGTTTGCCATCATTGCTCGACTGCATCCAGTTATACCAAAGCCGCCGGATGATACTTTTTCATAAAACCACGTTTTCTCTGATTCAGAAATACATGAACCAATGTAAACGCCAGTTTTTGTACCACGTAGGCTTTTCGGATTTACACCCGCATCTATCACAGCTTCATAAGCAGTTTCAATCAAAATTCGTGTTTGAGGGTCCATTGTATGGGCTTGTTTGAAATGAACACCAAAAAACGTAGCATCGAACTTCTCCAAATCATGAATTTTTCCAGATCGTTTAGGAATTTCAGGGTTGAAATGTCTCCAGCGGCGTTCATCATCATCTACCATATCAATCTGAAATGAATTAATATAAAAAAAATATTTTTTATACAAGCTTTCTAAATTACGGGTATATTTTTCTCCATTTTGAAAAAATCCTTGGGGATGAGAGCATATCGCTAGCTTAGAGTGAAAAGTTGCTAAGTCCACTTTTTATGAAAACTCATATTTTGATATAGGATGCTAGAGAAATTGAATACGCATCGTTTCGAAAATTATAAAGGTATTTGTTTTATTTTTTCCTCTTCATAAGCAATAAAAGGAAAATCTGCTAAGTCCAAAACAAGCAACACAAATCCGCTAAGGCCAAAATAATACGACATCTTTTAATAAATATCGAATCCTTCTGATTCTTATGGAGTTTTGCTTTGCTTTAAACGCGCAAAATGTTTGATTCGACGTCTAGCGAAATAGTTAAAGAAAATGGCTATAGGAAGATATTTTCCTCTCCTGTAAAATTTTTAAAATGGGACTGAGCAACTTTTCTTTCTAAGCTAGCGATATCATTTTTAACTTTTTCCCGCATGTATTTTTCGACCACCTTTATGTTCGTACATACATATATAAATATGTACGTTCGTTTAAAGAGACAGTAAATAAAATGCCAGTTTCATAAAATACAAAATCAGAATATGTTTGGATTATTTTAAAATCTGTTGCCAAATTGTATACAGAAAAAAACAAAAAATTAAAAATATCAAATAAAACATGTGTACTTTTTAATATACCACGTTTCTATAAACATACTATAAAATAATTTTTCTTAGACCCACAGAATTTCCCTTGATACGTTTTGATTTTAAAATTTTAGCAAAAGTCATTATAAACAATTCTAATTATTATATAGAATTTGTAACGGACTTTCCTGAGTGCTGGGCGTGGCTCTCGGTTGTTCAGGGTCCTTTAAGGAGTAAACACCCTATCTCCTCAAGATATTAGAACAAACTCGCTTCTCGGTATAGCCTCTTTATTAGCTGTACTCTCGCTATATCCACTCTCTAAAGTATAGAACTAGAGTAGGTTTAAACTCTACAGCTTGCACCAGTCTCAGTGGTTAAGNACAGCTAGCACCAGTCTCAGTGGTTAAAGCCCACTTCGAATATATACTAATAGTCTCGGAGGTTTGATCCTTTTTAAACTACCCGTGTGACCCACGTTGCGACGCGTGCCACGTATGCTTAGCTAATGCACAATGCTTGTTAGCACTGCTCCTTTTATACCATGTTTGTCCATCCGCAGACAGTTATCCTCATTACAATTGTTTGTGCTTTATACATTTTATGTAGGTATTGTATGTTGTAGGTATTTCCTATACTGTGCATACAAAGTAATAATTCAAAATATATGTATGCATATATGTACATGTTTATGTAAGTAAAACTAGTATAATTCAAATAACAAATTCCATTATGTGCGTGTACATATATGTAAAGCGTTTTTCTTACAATTCCAATNTGTGCATACAAAGTAATAATTCAAAATATATGTATGCATATATGTACATGTTTATGTAAGTAAAACTAGTATAATTCAAATAACAAATTCCATTATGTGCGTGTACATACATATATGCAAAGCGTTTTTCTTACAATTCCAATTATACAATTTAATACAAATTATATATGTATATAAAATAATTGTTGTGGGGCCCAGGGCCACAGGATCCGGGGTCCTCACACTCCCTCCTTATTCCGGGCAGTAAGACTTACGGTCACCTTGCCAGTCTTGGTAATTCGTACTCTGTACGTCTATCCGTTTACGATGCATCTGAATGACTGCCGCTTCTGTTGCTGATGGTTTACGTGCGACTCAATTTCACCAACTCTTCCGGCAACACACCTACGTCCGGATGGACCTGCCACTCCGATGGCACACTCGGCTCAGCCTCTTCTAGCCAACGCTCTATTTCTGCCATTAAGTCGGCATCTGCTGCCACACTGAAATCCGCTTCCGCCGACGCCTCCTCCACAAAATCTCTTCGTCCACCGCTCGCCAAAGTACACGCCTCGATCGCGCCCTCACTAAGGCACAGCTGTTGCGGCGGTGGATGTGGCACTTCCGATGCCATCGGGTCGTATAGCCTGATGCGCATATCGATATGGCGCGCATACCTACGTACCCGTTACCGAGGTGTATGGCGTCTTGTGTAGCGATGGAGAATTCGCCCTGCCTTTTGGCATACTCCTCTTCCTCGTCAGATGAAATTGTTATGGGTGTTGGCGCCCGCTCTATTTCGACCTCGAACTAACTGTTCGGCTCACTGTCATCAGATAGTACGCTTAAGTTTGAGGGTTCGTCCTCCGTCTACTCCTCTTCGCTCGTCAAACGTGGCGTATTGCTTGCCAAGTACTCTGCACCCCAATAGGTTGCCATCTCCGCATTTTCACTATTTTGGGGCTGCGTTCTTTCGAGGCTTTCGATGTCCTCGACGCCGCCTCTTTGTTGTTGTTGCCTGTCGCTGTTGCTGTCGCCCTCTCTGGAGTCACTTGGCTGGCCAGCGTCGTCATGCTCCCCTCCGGTGCTGTTGCTGTCGCTCGAATTACTCGACCGGTATCCACCGCTGCTGTCACTTCTAATATAGCATCGAATTTCGTGCTCTGTTAGGCGCTTTATACGTACGCGCAAAACGCCACCCTTCACTTGTTCGGCTACAAAATTTTCCTGTTGCTGCTGCTGGCTTGGTTTGTAAGACTGGCAGGTCTCACATTGTCGCACATACATGCCCGGCTCATAGTATCGCGCTGTCGCCCGCGCTATCGTTTTTCGGATCCCCATATGGCTTGCACTGGGAACATCGTGAATTTCCCTTAACACCTTCTGCATTTGATCTGTCGGTACACATAATTTCCATGGCGACACGTCTTCACCGTCGCTTTGGCCTGATATTCGCCTGTACAGCTCACCATTTTCGATGACAAAGTCAGGAAACTTCTGTGGGGACCTCTCCACCTCCGCCATCTTGTCTTTCAGCCACTTGCACTCTACCGCTACTCCTCCTGCCGTCATCGAACCAAGCAATGTTTCCTGGGGCTGTCTTGACAGCGCGTCTGCTACTACATTCAGCTTACCCTTGCGATACTGCACATCGAAGGAGTACTGCTGCAGTTCCAGCGCCCACCTTGGAATCCGACCGGACGGACTCTCTATCTTACTCAGCCATTTGAGCGCTAAGTGGTCGGTGATGACGGTAAACGTGTATCCTTCTAGGTAGGGTCCCATCTTCCTGATCGCCCACACTATGGCCAGGCACTCTTTTTCTGTTGGTGAGTAATTGAGTTCGGCTTTGTTGAGCTGGCGACTCGCGTATGCGGTTACGCGTTCTTCTCCTTTAATCTCTTGGGTGAGAACAGCTCCCAGCCCGAAGTCGCTCGCGTCCGTTTGTAGAGTGAACTTCTGCATAAAGTCGGGGCAAGCCAACACTGGTGCCTCGGTTAACGCGCTCTTCAGCGCCTCGAACGCTGTCTGTTGCTCATCGTTCCATTTCCACTTTTGGCCCTTCTTCAGCATGGACGTCAGCGTATGTGCCACTTTGGAAAAGTCGGGGACAAATCTTCGGTACCATGAAGCTATCCCTAGGAACCTGCGTAACTCCCTTATATTTGTCGGTGGTGTCAGCTCTTTGATAGCCGCGACCTTCTCAGGATCGGTGTGAATGCCCTTCTCGCTGACGACGTGACCCAGATACTTCAACTGCTTCTTGAAAAACTCGCACTTTTCTGGGTTGATCCTAAGATTCGCCTGCCTAAGCCGTCGGAAGACCTCCGAAAGATGTTGGACGTGCTCTTGCAGGGTTGCGCTGATGACAATAATGTCATCCAGGTAGGCAAACGCATACGGCTCTAGCTCTGGGCCGATAACTTGGTCTAACGCACGCTGGAACGTCGCGGGGGCGGAGTGGAGCCCAAACGGCATTACTCGCCATTGAAAAAGGCCACGCCCTGGCACTGTAAAAGCAGTGTACTGCTTGCTCTGCTCTTCCATTGGGATTTGCCAGTAGCCGTTTTTCAGGTCTAGGCTGCTAATATAACGCGCGCTTCGTAGTCGATCAAGGCTATGTTGGATCTTCGGTAGGGCATACACGTCGGGCACTGAACGCTCGTTCAGCTGTCAGTAGTCGACGCAGAGTCTCCACTTGCCGGTCTTCTTCTTCACTATCACTATTGGGACGCTGTGCGGGCTGTGTGAGGGTTCAATATACCCTTTTCGGATAAGGTCGTCGATCTCGGCGTTGATGATCTCCTGCATCTTCGGGTTCTTCCGGCAAAACCTCTGCTTTATCGGCCGGTAATCCTTCATGACGATCCGATGAGTGGCGATACTTGAAACCCCAGACATCTTCTCAAATTTGTGTAACTCTGCCTTTAAGAACTCCCTCGCTTCATCGGTTGCCGCATCATAATCGGACCCCCGCTTTTGCCAGGTAATTNCTGTCGCCCAGGGTTCTTCGGCTAGCTGTGTCAGCATATTTCCGGCTGCTTGCTGCTGGCTTGGTTTGTAAAGCTGGCACGTTTCACACTGTCGCACGTACTGCCTCACGTCACGGAACATGTCCGGCCAATAGTACCGCGCTGTCGCCCGCGCTATCGTTTCTCGGATTGCCATATGGCCTGCACTGGGAACATCGTGAATTTCCCATAACACCTTCTGTCTTTGCTCTGCCGGCACGCATAGTTTCCATGGCAACACGTCTTCACCGTCAATTTGTCCTGATATTCGCCTGTACAGCTCACCATTTTCGATGACAAAGTCAGAAAACTTCTGTGGGGACCTCTCCACCTCCGCCATCTTGTCTTTCAGCCACTTGCACTCTACCGCTACTCCTCCCGCCGTCATTGAACCAAGCAATGTTTCCTGGGGCTGTCTTGACAGCGCGCGTCTGCTACTACATTCAGCTTACCCTTGCGATACTGCACATCGAAGGAGTACTGCTGCAGTTCCAGCGCCCACCTTGGAATCCGACCGGACGGACTCTCTATCTTACTCAGCCATTTGAGCGCTAAGTGGTCGGTGA